CAGATAGGGTGCTGCCAGGTGGTGCTGGCGACAATAGCAAAGTAAATCTGTAGCGACTTCAAGCAACCCAGAACGCAGGCCAACCCCCGAGCATTCCTCTGACTCCTTCAGTCCACTTACTTGGAGCCCCAGCATCTCAGCTTGCTGTGGGGTTCGGTTGTAGTGTGTGATCACCAAGGCATCATCTTTCTGGGGAGCATGTGGGTTTTCTACAAAGCTGTTTCCCGAGGGATCATCAATGATCTAATAGATAGGTGAGGAGAGAGTAAAACAAACCATGCATAATCTCCATCCACCACCAGACCACAGCAGACAAATCATAGTCAATTTTCTGTTGCTCTGTATTTGAGGCTGGGCTTCAGTGTAGCCCCGCCTGGCCAAGAATTTGCTATGGAGTCAAGGAGGACCCTGAACTCTTGGAGTTAGAGGGATCAATCAGTGTCAATGGCCTCGCCCTTCCCTCCTTACACTGAAAACAACCGCAGTCACTCAATACTTACCAGAGTGAAGGAGGAAGCCAGCCTCTTTAGGTCCTTCAGTTTGCCGATGAACTCATCGATTCTTTCAGCTATGGCGTGTTCCATCGCCTACCACAAACAGATGAAAACACCAGACTGGTAGTAGACCTCATGCCCAACCCTCTCACAACTGTATCGCGTGCACTGACTTCAACCTTAGAGTGGGAGCATGGGACCCACACTTCACAGTGGGCTACAGCAGCAAATCTGAGGTTTATAAACAGTGCTGGGGCAGGAGGTAGGGCTTATTTTCCCACTTATTCAACCATTTAGCTGTAACTCCACTCCACGGGGATTCATTGCTTCTGGCCTACAAAGGCATCTGCCATCACATACACATACCCACACACAGGAACAGAGCACACAGTTAAAAATACATTCCTTAAAATTCAAAATCTTGTCATGCCTCTCTAGTAAGTTAGGGAGACAGATGACTACACGAGCAATTACATTATTTCTGTAATAATAAGTACAGATATAAAATACCCAGGAGGCTGTAGATAACTGAAAAGCTTCTCCAAGGTAATGTTACATTGTCTAAGGGGAACCTGAATATACACGGGGGAGAGACAGAGAGAAACAGCACCTTTATGTGCTTTGTCAGAAAGTTCCCCAACATTTGATCAGACACAGTTTGTAACATGAATAATAAAAACCCAGAGACAGGTATTAGGGTTCAACCTGAAAACCAGAAAAACAAAGCAGTCAAGCCACAAGAGAAGTCTGGTCTCTACCAAGGCTGGACAACTACAAACCTAAAATAAACAGCCTTTCTCTCATCTCATTTTATATTCACTCTAGTGCTGGGATTAAAGATGTGACTCCTTCTAGTACTGGGATTAAAGGTGTGAGCACCACCACCTGCATTTAATTTCTGCATTGATCTTGCTGCAGCCTAGGTTGTCCTTGAACTCATAGAGATCCACCCGACTCTGCCTCCCAAATCCTGGGATTAAAGATGTGTGCCACCATTACCTGACCTCCAGTGGCTTTAGTTTTGCCTCTGCTCTTCAGGCAAGATTTATTTATCAAAATACAAATAATATACCGCTCCAACTGTTCAGATACATGGAAGAAGAGGCTGACTCTATTTTAACACGAACAATAATTCCTTGCTGCTGCAATTTGAGAAAACCCCTGCTCACCCGTCGTGTGGGCTGGTCCTGCTCCAGGCCAGAGATGGCACGGCTGATCAATCCTTCAACGGTGGTCAGAGCTTGTGAATGAAGAGCAAGACAAGTGAGTGCTAGCTTGCTATCCCATGACCCTTCGCGCTTTACCTCAACCCTGCAAGCCTTGCTTCCCCCAACTGTCAAGTTCTAAATAAGTGCACTACGGTCTGTCTTCCTGGGACTCCCAACCACCCTTACTCTCAAGTGATTTTGCCATAACTTTCTACTCACGTTAAAGCACGAACGGCCAAAAATCCACTATGATTGCACGGCCAAACACAAGGCACTAGGCCTGACCTGGCAACCAGGCTTTGCAAGAAAAAAGTAATATTTCAGGAATGTGTGAACAGCTCACATACCCGATCTCAAGACTCACCTCCCTTCTGGCTGAAGGCTGGAATTTCAAAATCCAGCTCCGGGATCCGTGTGGTGGCAGAGTCTGTCTTCACCACTTCTCTGTTCATGTCCTGGACAGAAAGGAAAAGCGTTCTAGCAAGAGAGGTCAGCAATGTGGCTTCTCTGGGAAGCAACCAGTCCATCTTCTCTATCAGACGCCAGCCTAGATGTTTCTTCTCCCTCCCTTCCATTCAGAAACGTCCAAACTACTTCAGGACAGGAATATGGGACGAGCCAGAACGTCCAGAAGCTGGGAACTCAGCCCATAAATTCCTGCCCACTCACTCCATCACAAAATTCCAGGACCGCCGAGTACAGGGCAGCACCACCAATACCACAGTCAAAGGGGGATACTCAAGCTTGGCCACAGAGATTTACTGAAGGTGCGGTGACCCGGACCGGAGCTGTTGATTCTGGCCTTCAAAGCTCTCTCTGAAACCGTGGATAGTACCTCCTCTGGGCTATACCCACCTCTTGGCCCCTAACGGTCAAAGTGTATCGCACTCCCTGGTCCTGGATCCTGCCTGCTGACTGGATCTCCGTGTTGTTCCAACCGCAGTGCTCGCAGAAAAAGGAGCTCACGATTATTTCTCTAAAGAAGGGGATCTTGGTGAGCAGAAGGCGCGTCGTGCCCTGAGGAAGCAGAAGCAGCGAGGGAAAAAATGAGTGAAACTCATTTGTCCTCCCTATACGCCTGGACAGACTCTGGGTGCCCGCCTGGGTAGTCCCCCGGCCCCAGACTCCGCGCCCCTGACTCACGTTACGGTAACAGTTCATGCACAGCGACTCGATCTCGGTGGGCTGCTGCTCCTCGTCCTCGGCGCTGAGGGGCCGGAACAAGGGCCCCGTGGCTGGCGATCCGGCCGCGGAGGGCGAGGGCCCAACTGCAGCCCCCGGCCCCGGGGGACCGGGCTGCACTGCCCCGCTGGCAGACATCACCCCACACGCTTCTCAGGTAGCAGCTTCCGGCTTCCGGCGCCTACGTGACCTCACTTCCTCCAGCTACTGCCTAAAGTGCCCGCCCCTTCTTAAAGGGGCCACGAATCCTGCGCCTATCAAGTCAGTATCTGACTTCCGGTTCCTGGATCACGCGGACTGCACTTCCGTAGCCAGACTGGAATACCGCAACTCGCAGTCAAGTCAGTGTCTGGCTTCTTGATTGTGCCTCCACCACACACGGAGCCTAACCGTTGGTCCCCAAGTTTATGTAAAAATGCCTGACGACAGGGGACTGGCTTGCCTTGGAATTCCCTTGGCTGTGCCCTCCAAACTCTGCTTGCTTCGTGATGAGCCAGACCTTGCTTGGGTCCCCTCTCCAGGGCTCAGCTTCTTCTCCCCTCTTTCCCCCCCTGTTCCTCCAGCTCCCTATTTCTATCCTCATAAGCACCGCCCTGATCTTACTCCCTCTCTTCCCCACTTCGCTCACCCGTTTCTTTCTCCGTTTCCTAACAAATCACCCTGCTTTATTGGTTTCTTTCAAGTTTTCTTTCTAGCACTTACTCTCCACGTCATGGACCCAGTTCCGTGGCTGAAACTGACTACGTTTACAATATCAGGGATTATAAGTGTGTGGTCGCGTGGAACACATAGGGTCTGTGGTGGCGGGGTATGAAGAATCCTGGGCAGGGCAGGCTGAGGCAGGCTGAGCAGGGAGGACAGGGTGCTGGGCAGAAGTATAGAAAGACAGCTGCTTTTATGCTTGCCTATTTCTCCCACCTCATCCAGTTTCACTGGTCCCAGGCGATCTTTGCTGAGTGTGTGTACGAAGGAGGAGAGTTAGGAGTTTGAGATTCTCCAAGCATGGTGGCATATACTGTTAACCTCAGCACTGGGGGGGGGGGGGGGGGGGGGGGGGGGGGGGGGGGGGGGGGGGGCAGGCAGATGTCTATGGATTTGAGGCTAACCTGATCTACATGGTGAGATCTTGTTTCAGAGACGGGGTGGGGAAAAGTTAGTGTATGGATCCCAAGAAGAGGGTCAAAAATCCATAAGGAATCCAGAACACCTGGAGCAAGGGTGACAGGATCCCTCAGGGATTGCAGGTGACGGTGACGAGGGCGTGTTTGTCCAGTGACAGGCTGTATTCCACGCACGCTGTCCTATGATGAGTAGGGTGTGGAACGAGACTGGTGCAGAACCAGGGTCAAACCTGCCTCACCCCCACCCATGTGTGACAGCTGTGGTTGAGCTAAAGGTCCTGTGGCAGAACTCACCCAGGTTGGACCCCTCTGACATACCAGGAACGGAAAAGGGACAATGAGAAAGAGCGTGCTAAGAGTGGAGGGTGGGCGTGTTCTGGGGCAGTGGGAAGGCAATTGCTCTCGGACAAGGTCCAATGAGAGTCACACCAGGCCAACAAACTTCCTCCGTCACGAGCATCTATTTCATTTCAACAAAAGATGTCAGTTTCACCCCGAGAGTCAGGATGTGGAGATGGAAGATGGGAGGGGGCGTACAGCATGCTCCCTAGGGGATTTTAGAAGTCCTTGCTGTGTGGAGGGCTCAGTCCCTTTATGGGTGCGGAGTTACATAAGGAAATAGGGGCTCTGCCCCGTTGCAGCACTGATCCACCAGCAGCACTGCTAGTGGGATCTGCACACACCATAATATGCTCTCTCTATCACTTCCTCCTGCTCTCTTCCAACAGAAGCTCTCGTGGCAGCCCTGGGAAGACAAGAGCTCCTCTCTGTGGGCCAGCTCTAACAGTGCCCATCCATCAGGCAGCCAGAAGTAACAGGAGCCAAACTCCAGGTTATAGTGGCACAAGCTTCCAGCACTGTCATGTACCAGCTTGCAGACAGGCTCCCATGCACACACACACACACACACACACACACACACACACAATCTTCCTCGCCCTTCACCCCAAATGTTGCAATTCGTGTGGCTTCCCAAATGAGCACCAGAAGCTGGGTTTGCGAAACCTGGCGAGTGTAATGCACCTGAGTGAGGGAGCTGAGGAGGCTGGATAGGTTTGGGCAGCACCGTTTGGTGGCCTCACCTATGCTGTGCAGAACCCTCCACCTTCTGACCAATAGGTCATGCTAGAGGCTCAGGATCCAAGGATCCCCAGACAGAGAGCTGGGGAGTGAACCTGAGCCAGCAGATCCTCAGGGCTCTCCCAGCTGGCTATGGCCTTGGTCGTGAAGGCTGTAACTAATATCTTCCCACAGGTCATCCAGTCGGCTCTGCAGTCTGTTCAGGGCCTTGTCCTTGTCCGGGTGTTCCAACTCAGGTGCGAAGGAGCTGTGGCCAGGCGGGGGTGGTGCTAGCTGCTGCTGAACTTCCTCTGTCTCCTGGTCAATGGCCCGAGTGAATGCAGCGATCTGTAGGAAGGTGTCATGTCGAAAAGCCTGGAGTCTCTGGCGGACCTCCTCAGAGAGTGCCTGGGGGTCCGGGGAGGCTCCAGCCTCGGCCCCATCTGCGCTGGTGCGGACAAAGGCACTGAGCCCCTCGCGCAGCTGGTCCAGGTTGCGCTGGATGCTGGTGTGCAGGTCCTTTGCCTTGAGTGTGAGTTTGTGGGACAGGCTCTGCACACAGCGGCTGAGTCGCGCGGGGCTGGCAGCCGCGTGAGGAGCGACACTGCGGTGCAGCTCCTGCACATGGTGCCCAATGCCGGTCACCAAGCGCTCGGCATAAGGGTGGAAGAGTTTTTTGACCCGGTCTGTGTGATGCAGCACTCGACTTTGCATTTCCTTCAGCAGGCTCAGTGCCTCGTCCACGCCCCCCAGCAGCTGGGCCTTGGTGTCTTCTCCCACAAGACGCAACTGTTCTTGCAGCTCCTGCACGCTCAGGCCCACTTGCTCCATCAGCTCCACCGTGTAGGGCTTCAGCTGCTGCCTCAAGCCCTCCAAGTTCCAGCCTACCTGCTGGTGCTTCGCAGCCATGTAGGGTCCCAGGCGAGCTCTGACCTCCCCCAGCTCCTGCTGAAGCTGCTTTCTCATACCTTCTGGATCCTGTGCCAGTGGGTGAGGCTCCTTCCCCGGCCCACTTGAGGGGCTCAGCTTTCCTAGGAAATTGTTCAGATTGTAGAGGTCTTGCTCCAAGCTATTTTTCGTGCTCCTGGAGGAGAAAGGTAGAGAACCAGGCCATTAGACTGTTAGCCCTGAACATCCTCCTTGCCCCAGAGCCATGGGCCAGCAATATTTTGTAGACACCAGGACAGGAGAAGTGGCAGAGAGAGCCAGGGTCTTTAGTCCTAAACCAGCCAAGTACATCCTCCCATTCAGAGCACAAACACAACGTTGTATGGGCAATTCAATTCAGTCCTACAGCGCCATCCAAGAAGACGTCACAGACATGGCCAGAGACACACTATCCTGTCATTCTACGGCCTGCTAATCTCAGGTGCCACACCTCAATGGGAAAGAGGGCAGCAGGGCAGGAGACACTTGAGCAGAGGGTGACCAACATGGCTAAGCCATGCTTGCCAGTTGAAGCATGACTGGTTCCCTCCGCTTCCATAAGAACCACAGAGCTGAAGAACCATTCCCCAACACTGCTGTGTGGGACCCTCACCACACCCGAGTCCTGGTCACTCACTCCCGTGCCACCTTCTGCTGCTGGCCCATCATGCCTTTGTCCCCGCTGCTCTGTCTGAAGTGGTCCAAGAAATCCTTTCGTGCCTGAGTAGCTGAAAACACTGCAGAGAAGGATGAGATGGTTAAAGACTGGGCCCCTAGTCCAACCTCCATCCCAACCCCACCCTGAAGTCAGACGGAAGACTCACCTGAGAGGAGGGCCAGGGCCCAAGTGATGACTGCAGCCATGCTTACCACGATGCGCTCTGAAAAGGAAGGTAGGCGGAGGCTCGATCAGGAGAAGGGGCAAAGGAAGAGACTGGATCTTGAAACCCTGCTCTAGGGGCTAGCTGCTCCAAATCCTAATAACCCTTCTCTCATGTATAGGTAACATCATGTAGAAGGCTCCAGAGACCTTAACTAGGCACTTGGGGCATGGGGTTGGCGTTGGGATGGGAGAGATGTCTTCCTCAGACAACAGCAGCAGGTTGTTCCTTACCTCAGTCACAAAGTAGGGATCCTGGAACTCAGGCTGCTCTAGAGGGATTGCCCACCTTGGGGTAATCTAGCTCCCTTGTGTGTTTGTCTTCCTGCCTCCAAGCCCACTTTGTGGCTGAGAAATTGGCATACCCAAGATGCAGGAGGCAGGCACTCTGTTAGCCCATACCAGCAGCTCCTCCCTACAATGGCAGCTACCACCCCCACCACCCCACCCACACCCCCACCATCCTTACCACCCCCACTATGCCTCTGCCATGCAGGCTTACCTGCTCAGTTCTGGGCACAGAGAGCAGACATTCTGTTTTATACTCCAGGAGTCTGGGACTCTGACAGCAATTGCTCTGAGCAAACACCACGTGGAGGTTCAAAGAAGGATGACCCCAGTTGGCTCCGAGCATCCCCTCTCTCCTTTTCCCGGTGCTCTGAGCGCTAATAAGCTTCCCAGCCTCAGGACACTGCCCAGTAGGGAAGTGGCTTCCTGGAGCCTTTACTAAGAGTGGACAGAACTTACCCCCCAAATTGTGTGACCTCCAGCCTCCCCACTTGCTTGTTGACCCGTCTGCCAATAGGCACCACTTGTTTGTCTACTGAGGGCCCTGCTCTTACTCAACTACCCAGGGCACTCTGCCCTAGCCAGCCAGGCAAAGGAATAGAATCCAGGACTGGCTAGAACCAGGGCAGACTTGATCTGCTCCACCATGGCCACTGCGGCAGCCTGAGAAGAGCCAGCATTTACAGGGCTACAGACCCTCCTGTCTCTCCGTGTGAGAAATACCCTGCATTGAGCGGGAGGAGCCAGGTCCAGTTGAAGGAGGGTGGGTGGGCTGCATCTGAGATTCCGGGCCTCAGGGGTTAGACAGGAAGGATTCTCCTCACTCACAGGGAAGGCTGGACTCCACCACTCTGGGCTTCTAAGAAGGGGAAGCCTGGAAGCCCAGACAAGCTTCCTCCATACGCTTGCACATACACACCTGAGTGCTCCATCCTTGCTCTCAAGTGCTCCAGGCCTCCTATGAGTCTGCTCACCTCCATTCATACACGGCCACAGCCTCCATCCCTCTCTCCTTGATTGCATTCAGAGCCTGCCGCAGTCGCTGGACCTCTTCTCCCATCCGTCTTCCACTGTGACCCAGTTCAGCCCGAGTCCCCTCTCTCCATGCAAAACCTCGCCCATTCCTTGAGCTCCTTGCTTCTCAGGCCTCTGTACCAGGAATGGGGATGTATGCCTATAATCCCAGCAAAGGGGAGGAGGAGGCAGAAGGATTTCAAGTCTGAGGCTAGTCTGGGCTGCAATACAAGGTCCTATCTCAAAAACTAACACTTAAAAAAGAGAGAGAGAGGAAAAAAAAGAAAAGAAGAAGCTGCAGAAACCACCACAGCCCCCAGCACTTCAGTCATTACAGAGGGATGTAAGTCTGTTGACAGAGTACTTACCCAGCATGTGCAAAGACCAGAGACTGATCTCCAGCACTGCCTAACACAGCATGATGGTTCGCATCTGCAATCCTGAGGCAGGGCAATTGAAGGGACACGAAAGGGACAGGGCTCTTCTAGAATCTGAGTGAAGCCTCTCAGCTGAGAAGCAGGAATACCCACACCATTGCCACTTGTTATAAAGGCTGCAGACATAGCTAGGGTTCCTTTCAGATGAAGATGCCTTAGGTTAAAAAAGCTGCGGATATAGAGTCCTGAGCAGGGCCTCACTGCTTTCCCCAGACACTACCTGAAACCTTAAACAACACAGTGTCCCCATGGGCTAAACTTTTTAAGTTATTGATTGTGATACTATCTGTCAGGTGCGCACGCGCGCACGCACACACACACACACACACACGGGAACTACCCAGTGATAAGAGAGTCACTTCAAACCTCACCAAAGCCCTATATATGACTACTGTAAAAGCAATGAGCCTTGCCTCTCCCTTGAGGGGCCCATAATACCCACACCTGAGCATGTCTTCCTTTTTTCCTGAACACTTCTCTTTCTCCTAATAGCCATGCTTTAGCCTATATTATAATGTCTTTTAAATAAATCTCCAGTCCAGGCCTGGTTTACTGTATCAGCTAGTCTTGAAATTTTATTTTTTTCTTTCTAAGAGGTTGTTGTTGTTTTTTTTTTTTTTTAATATCTGTGTATATGTGTGTAGGGGGGTGATGCCTCAGGAGGCCAGAAGAGGGCGTCAGATACCCGGAACCGGAGTTACAAGCTGCTCAGTGCAGGAGCTGAGACCTGAACCCAGGTCCTCCACAGAGCAGCAAATGCTCTGATCTGCTGAGCTATCTCTCCAGCTCCCAAGTGTTCTTCATCTCTGCACTGAAGACTTGCGTGCTTGAAACACACTGAGTAGCTTCTGTCTTTCTGTGAGAACCTGGACAAACAGGAAGGTCTAATACGAGGCATAGTCATTGCTTGCCGGCACCTCCTGGCTTCAGGGTGGACATGTTTGGGATGATTGGAGGTATGTGTGTATTTGCTTTGGGATGCATATGAATGAAATCAGTTTTTATGACTAAAACTGAAATATTGGCAATTTCATGTAGTTCTATCCAACAAAGTATATTCATATGTAATTTAGCTTGTCTAATACACTCTAGTTTTCTTAGTACAGGGTCCAGCACATATCACAAAAGTGGGGTTGCTAAAAATATACATATTGATGATGGGCCAACTTCGAACAATGGGGAACTAAAATATTAGACCAAAGTAATGTAGGAAATGGGGAAGGGCAGATCAAAGCATTCTCCAGGCTTGCATTATCCAGGGAGAAGATGGGGTATTGATCATCTCTCACTTTTACGTCAGACAACACTATTAAAGTTTTAAAGAAAACCCATTAAATGAGTAAAAAGGAAGAATAACTTTCAAACTGGTAGATGGGGAAGAGACAAAAGAGCGATGGGCTGACCTCTAGTAAAGGATGATGGATTGATCGCATGTGCTCACCTTGAGCTGTTTCCTGAAAACCCAATAAAATGTCTTTAAAGTGCCCTTGTTAAAAATGCATAAATCCATGTGGAAGAGAGAAAAAGAGACAAAAGCAACAATGTTTTGGGACTGTAAAACTCCTAAACAGTCAAACTGTAGTTATTAGGAACACCTGAAATTATGGATTTTGACGCAACAATCTGGAAAGCCAAGTACTTGCTGGGTTTGCCTGTTTCAACTCCTCCCAAAGTTTAGAGACAGCAGGAAAGATTCTTCTGGGAGTATAGGTGGCAATGGCACTAAAGATGCAGCAACTGGCTCAAACACATTGGAGAAGCAGCTACCTCCTTTGGCTCTACTTCATACGGTCACTGTCCCTCCACTAAGGCAACAGAAAACTACAGGCTTGTTTCTGCATGCCTCACCTATAGATGACAAAGTATGATAGGTGGTGGTGGTGAACAACTTTAATCCCATTATTCCAAGCGTTGTGAGGCAGAGGCAGGTGGATCTCTGTGAGTTCGAGGCCAGCCTGGTCTACAGAGTGAGTTTTAGGACAGCAAGGACTACACAGAGAAGCTCTGTTTCCAAAAACAAAAACAAAAGACAAAGTCAAGGTACTACAGGAGGCCAGGGTCTGTCTATCTGTCTTTCTTTCTTTATTTTTTTCTTTCTTTTTTAAGATTTATTTATTTATTATATATACAGTGTTCTGCCTGCATATGCCTGCAGGCCAGAAGAGAGCACCAGGCCTTACTACAGATGATTGTGAGCCACCATGTGGTTGTTGGGAATTGAACTCAGGACCTCTGGAAGAGCAGGCAATGCTCTTAATCGTTGAGCCATCTCTCTGGCCCCGAGGCCATGTTCTTATATACAAATAGGAACTTTTTTTAAGTATTTATTTATTTGTTATGTATACAATATTCTGTCTGTGTGTATGTCTGCAGGCCAAAAGAGGCACCAGACCTCATTACAGGTGGTTATGAGCCACCATGTGGTTGCCGGGAATTGAACTCAGGACCTTGGGAAGAGCAAGGCAATGCTCTTAACCACTGAGCCATCTCTCCAGCCCCTACAAATAGGAACTTTATATATTAAAGTTATATGGCTGGATGTGGTTCAGTCGGTAGAGTGTATGCTTCATATGCACAAAGCCTTCGTTTGGTGATGGTTGTTTGCCAGGCTTACTTTCTCTCTCCATTTAAATATTTTCTATCTATGCTTATCCACTAGTTATAGACAGCATTTAATTCTCTCCACAGCTATTGTTCTCAGATTGCTAAAAGTCAAAGGGAGCGGGGGAGGGGCATGGGAGAGATGACTCAGAGGTTAAGAGCACTGACTGCTCTTCCAGAGGTCCTGAATTCAATTCCCAGCAACCACATTGTGGCTCAAAACCATCTATGATAAAATCTGATGCCCTCTTCTGGTGTGCAGGCAAAATGCAGACAGAACACTGTATACACAATAAATAAAAAAAATTAAAAAAGCAAAGTGGGGCATTCTGTAAAACTATGATACCATTATCCCGTGTAAGAGAACTCCCAATCTTACACTACAACCACATATGAGTCCTAACCTTTCTTGACTTGTCTCTGCCTGATTGTTTTTGAGACAGTAGCCCTAACTGGCCTGGAACTCACAGCCCCCTAACCTCAGGCTTCCCAGCTCAAGTTATGTTTAAAGGTAGAAACACTACCAGAGGGAGGTAACTCCAGTTCCCAGGCATCTGTCGCATATACACGCAGTTGTATATGAGTTGGCTGGACCCTGTCACAACTGTCTCGTGTATATAAAGTCATAAACTCTGCTGAAGACATTTTTTTAAGTAGAGATTTAAAACAGGGACCACTGTTTACACAGGACTGACAAATGAATTATTGCCTGACTCTCTCCCGACAGTCAGCCATCCAGACTCCTGGAGTCCATTGCAGTCATGGTCCAAGTGGCCCGGGCTACTGCTAGAACGTCTTTAGCAGACCTTGGAATCATCCACATGAGGATAGTTTTGCAACACACAGAATGGGAGAGTTATGGGCTCACCAAAGCATCCACACAGATTTTAAGTTCTCGAGGGTCAAGACCTGGGGGTACAGGCAAAAGACAGTATATGACAGAGTCTGAATCTTGTAGCCCCTTTGGAGGGCAATGGGTAAAACAGTGACATTGGAACTTATGCTGTTGTGAAGACCCCAGGAAGTTAGAGATGCCAGCGACGGAGCTTATAGAGTTCCTCCCCCAACCCTCAACCGTATACCAATCATAAACAACCCCTATATGATGTCCCTAAGTCTGAGGACAAACTTAGCTGGGAGAGGGAACGTCATCTTCTAGAATTACTTCCAGCTGTAATGGGGGTGACGTTCTTTCTAGGGGATCCTGTGAGAGTAAAATGATGGTTGAATTTTTATATCTACAGTATTCCCTTTGGAACAGGGATATTCACCCCACACCAGCATATGGAAGTAAGGAACTTGTTTTATGTTTGTTTGTTTTATTCTTATAGGTGCTCTTTGCTAAGTGTTTGCTATGCGTACAAGGGGCATCCCAGACTTGGACTTCTGAGTAATGCTAAAACTGGTGAGAATTTGGGGACTATAAGAAATATGCTGCTGGAGAGAAACAATTAATAAACGGGACCTCCCCAAACTGAAAAGCTCTGTAAAGCAAAGGACACCATCAACAAGATAAAATGACAGTCTACAGAATGGGAAAAGATCTTCACTAACCTCACATCAGACAGAGGTCTGATCTCCAAAATACACAAAAAACTCAAGAAATTGGTCATCAAAAGAACAAATAATCGAATAAAAAAAATGGAGTACAGACCCAAACAGAGAACTCTCAACAGAGGAATCTAAAATGACTGAAAGGTGATGTGGGATTCCCCTCTGTGTGCTGTGAATGTCATTGGTTAGTAAAGGAACTGCTTTGGGCCTATCTATAGCAGAGCTATGGGGGAACAGAGCTAGGCATGGAAAACTAAACTGAATGCTGGGAGAAAGGAGGCAGGGTCAGAAAAAAACCATGGATCCACCACCTGAGACAGACATGCTGAAACTTTAGCTTGTAAACCACAGCCTTGTGTCCATACACAGATGAATAGAAATGGGTTAAACTAATACATAAGAGTTAGTCAATAAGAAGCTAGAGCTAAAGGGCCAAACAGTGATTTAATTAATACAGTTTCTGTGTGATTATTTCAAGACTAACCGGCTAGGAATGAAACAAGCAACCTCCTTGCAACATAAAGAAACATAAGGAAGCCGGGCGGTGGTGGCACACGCCTTTAATCCCAGCACTTGGGAGGCTGAGGCAGGCGGATCTCTGTGAGTTCAAGACCAGCCTGGTCTACAGAGCTAGTTCCAGGACAGGCTCCAAAGCCACAGAGAAACCCTGTCTCAAAAAAACAAAAAACAAAAAAAAAAAAATAAGGAAATGCTCAACATCCTTAGTCATTACAGAAATGCAAATCAAAACAATTCTGAGATTCCATCTTACACCTGTAAGAATGGCCAAGACCAAAAACACTGATGACAACTTATGCTGGAGAGGTTGTGGGGTAAAGGGAACACTTCTGCATTGATGGTGGGAGTGCAAGCTGGTACAGCCCCTTTGGATGTCATTGTGCTGATTTCTGAGAAAATTAGGAAACAACCTTTCTCAAGACCCAGCAATACCACTTTTGGGTATATATCCAAAGGATGCTCAATTGTACCACAAGGACATGTGCTCAACTTTGTTCATAGCAGCATTGTTTGTCATAACCAGAACCTGGAAACAACCTAAGTGCCCCTCGACTGAAGAATGGATAAGGAAAATATGGTACATTTACACAATAGAGTACTACACAGCAGAAAAAAATAACGACATTTTGATGAGGCTAGAAAACATCATTGTGAGAAACCTAGACATAGAAATACAATTATTATATGTACTCACTCATAAGTGGTTTTTAAACATAAAGCAAAGAAACCAAGCCCACAAATCACAATCCCAGAGAACCTAGATAACAATGAGGACCCTAAGAGAGACATACATGGTTCTAATGTACTTGGGAAGTAGGAAAAGACAAGATCTTCTGAGTAAATTGGGAGCATGGGGATCTTGGGAGAGGGTTGAAGGGGAGGGGAGAGGCAGGGAGGGAGCAGAGAAAAACGTAGAGCTCAATAAAAATCAATTATGTATATATAATAACCCCCCCCCCCCAAAAGGCGCACTGACTACTCTTCCAAAGGACCTGGTTCTCGTCCCAGCACCCGTAGTTCAGCTCATGACTGTCTGTAACTCCAGTTCCAGGGAATTGGACACCCATAGCAAAATACCAATGCACATAAAATAAAATTTAATAAAGAAAGAGAAGACTGGGTATCATGCCAGGCAGTGGTGGGTGGCACATGCATTTAATCCTAGCACTTGGGTAGCAGAGGCAGGTGGGTCTCAGTGAGTTCAAGATCAGCCTGGTCTAAAAAGTGAGTGAGTGAGGCAGGGCCACATGAGATACTGTCTCAAATAAATAAAAAGTATTCAAAAATATATATTTTTAAAATAAATAAATCATTTTAAAAAGTCTTATTTCTCACAGATCCTAGAGTTAGGTACTAGTATTGCCATCAGTTTACAAACAAGGAAACTGAGGCATGGAGCAATTAAATAACTAAGTCTAAAGACCTGAGGAGTTCCAGCCTTCTAGCCTTGCAGTACAGCTCTGTGACCTCAATCTATGTAATCTGGCTGGGTTTCAAGGATTTTTTTTGCCAAATCGCTGCATTTTCTATTGATCGTCACATGTCTTCGCTTCTTATATTCCCCAGCATGTTGTGCTTTTACCACACTTGTATTTTGACTTTAATCAAGTTTTATTTTTGATACAGAGTCATATATCACAGGCTGATCTTGAACTCACTACCTAGCAGAGAAGACCTTGAGATCCTGACTCTCCTGCCTCCACTTGTCAAGTTTGAGGACTATAGATATACACCAGCATGCCCAGTTTATGTAGTGCGAGAATTCAAATCCAAGGGCTTGTGCATACTAAACAAGTTCTTGACAACCGAGCTACACTGGCAGCCCGTTAGTGAGCTTTTATTTGGGCTGTTGTTCTTTAATCTTTGTGCGTATGCGTGCGCACATACGTGCACGTTCAAGTTGGTGAGTGAGGGTGCACATGTGCCACACACAAGTAGAAGTCAAAGAACAACCTCGGGTGTTGGTCTTTGCTTCCATCTTGCCTGTGACCGGGTCTCTAGTTGTTTGCTGCTGAGGACTCCGGGCTAGCTGCCTGGTGAACTTCTGGGGACTCTCCAGTCTCGGCCTCCCATCTCATCACAGCAGTGTTGGGATTACAGATGTGTGTGCTGATCCGAGTTTAGGAGTGTTTAGGGCATCCAAACTCAGGTTTTCATGTTTATCCACCTGTGTCATCTCCCCAGGCCAATTTGCTTTGATCAAATACCCAGGAAACAGTCTAGGGAAGGGAGGATTGATTTTGGCTCCTGTTCCCAGAGATTTCAGTGCATGGTCAGCCGATTCTGTGTCTCTGGGACTTTGATTAAGTAGACAGAGCATTACGGAAAAAGGGCATGTGGGGCAAAGCTGCTCACCCCAGGGCAGCCAAGAAATAGGAAGACAAAGGAATTAAGGACAAAGTGTTCCCTCATCAGGCGGCACACCCCAGTGACCTACTTCCTCCAACTAGATCTCATATCCCAAAGATTACAACCGACCAAGGACTGACCCATCAGTTAGGTTAGAACACCTGTGACCTGGCTACTTCCCAGAAGCCCCACCCCTGTCACCACTGTGCATTGACCGGGAACAAAGCCTGCGGCGCATGAGTTTCGGGAAAGCTTTTCATATCCGAGTTGTAGCGTCTACCTCTGTCCTCCCAAAGGCCTTATCCATGTCAATAATACAAAAGGTATTTAGCATACTTTTTTCTCCTCTTCCTCCTCCTCCTCTTCCTCTTGTTTGTGTTTGGAAACGTGGTTAATCTGTGTAGCCCTGGCTGTCCTAGAACTTACTCTGTAGACCAGGCTGGCCTCAAACTCTCAGAGATCCACCTGCCTCTGGAGAGCTGGGATTAAAGGTGGGCGCCACCACCCAGCGGCATATTTCTTTCTTCTTCTTCTTCTTTTTTTTTTTTAACAGTTAATTTTTTTTATTGATTTTTATTGAGGTCTACATTTTTCTCTGCTTCCCTCCTTGTCTCTCCCCTCCGCTTCTATCCTCTCCCATGGTCCCCATGCTCCCAATTTACTCAGGAGATCTTGTCTTTTTCTACTTCCCAAGTGCATTAGATCCATGTATGTCCCTCTTAGGGTCCTCATTGTTATCTAGGTTCTCTGGGACTGTGATTTGTGGGCTGGGTTTCTTTGCTTTATGTTTTAAAACCACTTATGAGTGAGTACATATAATAATTGTCTTTCTGGGTCTGGGTTTCCTCACTCAAAATGATGTTTTCTAGCTCCATCAATTTGCCTGCAAATTTCAAGATGTCATTATTTTTTTCTGCTGTGTAGTACTCTATTGTGTAAATGCACCATATTTTCCTTATTCATTCTTCGGTCGAGGGGCACTTAGGTTGTTTCCAGGTTCTGGTTATGACAAACATATTTATTGGATTAAGTGTACTTTTGGTGTCCAATTTCTTGCGTTCTTTGTATATTTTGGAAATCGGACCTCTGTCTGATGTGGGATTGGTAAAGATCTTTTCCCATTCTGTAGGCTGTCGTTTTGTCTTGTTGACCATGTCCTTCGCTTTACAGAAGCTTTTCAGTTTCAGGTGGTCCCATTTATTACTTGTTTCTCTCAGTGTCTGTGCTACTGGGGTTATATTTAGGAAGCCATCTCCTGTGCCAATGTGTTCAAGTGTACTTTCCACTTTCTCTCCTATGAGGTTTGGTATGGCTGGCTTTATGTTGAGGTCTTTGATCCATTTGGACTTGAGTTTTGTGCATGGTGATAGATATGGATCTATTTTCATTCTTCTACATGTTGATATCCAGTTATGCCAGCACCACTTGTTAAATATGCTTTCTTTTTTCCATTTGACATTTTTTTGCTTCCTTGTCAAAAATCAGGTGTTCATAAGCGTGTGGACTAATATCTGGGCCTTTGGTTTGTTTCCATTGTTCCTCCTGCCTGTGTTTATGCCAATACCAGGCTGTTTTCAGTACTGTAGCTCTGTAATAATAGACTTTGAAGTCAGGGATTGTGATGCCTTCAGAAGTTCTTTTATTGTACAGGATTGTTTTGGCTATCCTGGGTTTCTTGCTTTTCCATATGAAATTGAGCACCGTTCTTTCCAGGTCTGTGAAGAGTTTTGCTGGGATTTTGATGAACATTGCATTGAATCTGTAGATTGCTTTTGGTAAGATTGACATTTTTACTATGTTAATTCTATCTACCCAAGAGCATGGGAGATCTTTCCACTTTTTGGTGTCTTCTTCAATCTCTTTCTTCAAAGATTTAAAGTTCTTGTCATACAAGTCTTCCACTTGTTTGATTAGAGTTACTCTAACATATTTTATGGTATTTGTGGCTATTATAAAGGGTGATGTTTCTCTGATTTCTTTCTCAGCCCATTTATCATCTGTATACAGGAGGGATACTGATTTTTTTTTTGAGTTAATCTTGTATCCTGCTACATTACTGAAAGTGTTTATGAGTTGTAGAAGTTCCTTGGTAGAATTTTTTGGGATCAATTATGTAAACTATCATATCATCAGCAAATAGTGAGAGTTTGACTTTTTCTTTTTCCCCTTGATTATCCCCTTGTTCTCCTTTTGGTGTCTTATTGCTCTAGCTAGGACCCCAAGAACTATATTGAATAGATATGGAGAGGGTGGGCAACCTTTTCTTGTTCCTGATTTCAGTGGGATCACTGTGAGTTTCTCTCCATTTAGTTTGATGTTGGCTGTTGACTTGCTGTATATTGCCTTTGTTATGTTTAGGTATGGTCCTTGTATCCCTGCTCTCTCCAAGACCTTTATCATGAATGGATGTTGTATTTTGTCAAAAGCTTTTTCAGCATCTAATGAGATGATCATGTGTTTTTTATTTTTCAGTTTGTTTATATGGTGGGTTACATTGACAGATTTTCATATGTTTAACCATCCCTGCATCTTTGGGATGAAGCCGACTTGATCATGGTGGATGATGGTTCTGATGTGTTCTTGGTTCGATTTGCCAGTATTTTATTGAGTATTTTTGCAATAATGTTCATGAGTGAAATTGGTCTGTAATACTCTTTCTTAGTAATGTTTTTCTGTGTTCTGGGTATCAAGGTAATTGTAGCCTCATAGAAAGAGTTTGGCAGTTTTCCTTCTGTTTCTATTGTGTAGAACAATTTGAGGAGTGTTGATATTAGTTCTTCCTTGAAAATCTTGTAGAATTCTGAGCTGAAACCATCTGGTCCTGTGCTTTTTTTGGTTGGGAGACTTTTGATGACTATTTCTATATCTTCAGCCGCTATAGGCTTGTTTAATTTGCTTATCTGGTATTGATTAAACTTTGGTAAGAGATATTTATCCAGAAAGTTGTTCATTTTCTTTAAGTTTTCCAATTTTGTGGAGTACAGGTTTTCAAACTATGATCTGATAATTCTCTGGATTTCCTTCATGTCTGTTGTTATGTTCCCCTTTTCATTTCTGATTTTGTTAATTTGGATATTCCCTCCCTGCCTTTTGGTTAGTTTGAATAAATGTTTGTCTATTTCGTTGATTTTCTTGAAGAAGCAACCCTTTGTCTCATTGATTCTTTGCATTGTTTTCTTTGTTTCTATTTTGTTGATTTCAGCTCTCAATTTGATTATTTCCTGCAGTCTAGTTCTCTTGGGTGTGTTTGCTTCTTTTTGCTCTAAAGTTTTCAAGTGTTCTGTTAATTTACTAGTGTGGGACTTTTCCAGCTTCTTTATGTAAGCATTTAGTGCTATAAACTTTTCTCTTAACACTGCTTTCACTGTGTTCCATAAATTTGGGTATATTGTGTGGTCATTTTCACTGAATTTTAGGAAGTCTTTAATTTCTCCTTTAATTTCTTTTTTGACCCATTGGTGATTCAGGTGAGCACTGTTTACTTTCCATGTGTTTGTGGGCTTTCTGGAATTAGTGTTGCTGTTGAATTCTAGTTTTAAGCCATGGTGATCTGATAAGATACATGGGGTTATTTCAATTTTTTGTATTTGTTGAGGTTTGTTTTGGTCAGTTTTGAGGTTCCATGAGGTGCTGTGAACATTTGGATGAAATGTTCTATAGATGTCTGTTAAGTCCATTTGAGTCATAACATTTGTTATTTCTCTGTTAATTTTTTGTTTGACTTGCCTGTCCAGTGGTGAGAGTGGAGTGTTATTTTTGTTTGACTTGCCTGTCCAGTGGTGAGAGTGGAGTGTTAAAGTCCCCCCAGTAGTGTGTGGGGTTTAATGTATGATTTAAGCTTTAGAAGTATTTCTTTTACATATGAGAGTGCCCTTGTATTGGGGGCATAGATGTTCAGTATTGAGATTTCCTCTTGATGGATTTTTCCTTTGACTAATATGAAATGTCCTTCTTTGTCTCTTTTGATTCATTTGACTTTGAAGTCCATTTTGTTAGATATTAGGATAGCTACACTAGTTTGTTTCTTAAGTCCATTTGATTGGAATTTTTTCCCCAACCCTTTACTCTGAGGCGATGTCTGTTTTTGAAGTTGATGTGTGCTTCTTGTATGCAGCAGAAGGATGGATTCTGTTTTCATATTCAATCTGTTAGCCTGTGTCGTTTTATAGGTGAGTTTTATAGGTGAGTCCATTTATATTAAGGGCTATTTATGACCAGTGATTGTTATCACCTGTTAATTTAGTTTTCGTTGTTGGTGATGTTAATTTGTGTGTTTTTCTCTTCTTTGGGATTTGCTGCTGTGAGATCAATTGTCTGTGTTTTTGTTGATATAGCCAACTTTCTTGGGTTGGAGTTTTCCTTCTAGTAGTTTGTGTAGGGCTGGGTTTGTGGCTAGTTATTGGTTAAATCTGGTTCTGTCATGGAATATCTTGTTTTGTCCTTCTATGGTAATTGAAAGCTTTCCTGGGTATTAGTCATCTGGGCTGGCATCCGTGGTCCTTTGTGTTTGCATAACGCTTGACCACGACCTTCTGGCTTTCATTGTCTCCAATGAGAAGTCAAGTGTAATTCTGATAGGTCTGCCTTTATATGTTACTTGGCTTTTTTCCTTAGCAGCTCTTAAGATTCTTTTGTTTGTATGTTTAATGTTTTGATTATTATGTGATGAGGGGACTTTTTTTTTAAATCCAGTCTATTTGGTGTTCTGTACACTTCTTGTATCTTCATAGGCATATCTTTCTTTATGTTGGGAAAGTTTTCTTTTATGATTTTGTTAAGTATATTTTCTGTGCTTTTGAGTTGAACTTCTCCTTCTTCTATACTTATTATTCTTAGGTTTGGTCTTTTCATGGTGTCCCCTATTTCCTGAATATTGTGTGTTAAGCTTGTTAGACTTAATGTCCTCTTTGACTGATGAGTTTATTTCCTCTATTGTATCTTCAGCACTTGAGATTCTCTCTTTCATCTCTTGTATTCTGTTTATGTTTGCATTTGTGGTTCCTGATCATTTTCTCATAATTTCTGTGTCTGTAATTCCCTCAGTTTCTGTTTTATTGTCTCTATTTCAGTTTTCAAGTCTTGAATAGTTTCTTTCATATGTTTGATTGCTTTTTCTTGATTTTCTTTAAGGGATTTGCTGATGTCTTCCAACTTTTTGTTTGTTTTTTCCTCCATTTCTTTGAGGGAATTTCTCATTTCCTCTTTGAGAGTCTCAAACAGCCTCCTGAAGTTTTTTTTTTTTTTTTAGGTCATTTTCTTCTGCTTCATCTATATTTGGTTGTTCAAGTCTTGCTATTGTAGGTTCTCTAGATTTTACTGGTATCATGTTGCTCTTTGTGGTTGCGTGTGTTCTTACCTTGTCTACTCATCTTTTCCTCTGATTGGTGTGGTTGGTGCTGTCTGTGACTCTGGTGATTAATCTTTTAGGTGCCAGTGGATAAAAGGCTCAGATGGTTGTTCATTATGGTATAGTCAGTGCCACAGTTCTAGTTACCCCGTTGGTCACTCTGTGTTCCTGGGGGTCACTCAGTGCTCCAGGGGTTTGCTCCGCTCCTGTGGAGTTTGCTGTCTCAGGCTTGCTCTGATCTAGGTTGCCGGCTCAGACTTGTTTCTGTAAATGTCCCTGGTCTAGATCTGCTCCTTTTGAGGTCCCTGGCTTGGGATTGGTCCTGAAAATTTCTATGACTCTGATTTTCTCCCTTGGAGGTCCCAGACTTGGGTGTGCCCTGACCCACAAGGACCTGGCTCAGGCCTACTCCCTCAGATGTCTCAGATTCATGCCTCGGCCTCCAGAGGTTTCTGGTTCCTGACTACTCCATCAGAGGTCCCAGACTCATGCCCAGACATGCAGGGGTCCTGGCTCAGGTCTATTCTCTCGAAGGTCCCAGATTCATGCCTGGATCTGCAGGGGTCTCTGGCTCTGGCCCACTCGCACAGCAGTTGCTCCCCTATATCTGCTCCTGTGGAGTTCGCTGTCTCAGGTCAAGTAGTCAGTGCTCTTAACCACTGAGCCATCTCTCCAGCCCACTGAGTACTGGGATTAAAGATGTGCAGAACCATGTCTGGCAAGATATATTAACTTTTATTTTATGTGTTTGAGAATTTTGCCTGTATGTATGTATGTAAGTGCACTGTGTATGTATCTGGAAACTGCAGAGGCCAAAAGAGAGTATTGGACCCCCTGAACTGAAGTTATGGATAGTTCTAAACCAGCATCTGGGTGCTGGAAACTGAACCTGGGCCCTCTGCAAGCGTGCCAAGGGCATTAGCTGCTGGGCCAGCTCTCCAATCCCTATGCTATTATTCTGAATTGTGTCTATGTATGTGTGTTTATCACATGAGTGCAGATGCCTTCAGCAAGCAGAAGAGAGCATCAGATCACTTGGAGCTGGAGTTACTGGCTGGAGTTACTATGAGTTGCCCTGGTGGGATCCAGGCTTACTTCTCTGCAAGTGCGGTATGTGCTGTTGCCCTGAGCCATCTCTCCAGCCCAGGAGAGCAATGCTTTACTGTAGCGTTTTAGAAAGCAGTCTTTAAGCTCCACATAATCCACACACAGACACAGGTACACACATGCACACACATATACAGACACACACACATATATACACAGACACAGACAGACACACACATACACATACAGAGACACAGACAGATACACACAGAGACACAGAACATACACAGACGCACACACAGACACAGACAGATGCACACAGAGACACAGAACATACACAGACATACACAGACACACACATACATAGACACAAACAGACAGACACACAAATACACATAAATAAATAAATAATAAATAAATAAATAAATAAATAAAACCAGATTTTTTTTTCAAAAGCCACTTAAACATTCTTCATGCACAGATGGGCAAGTAAATTACTCCTTAACTGGAGCAGTACGCAACTGATAAGGATGAACAGACGTGGTACATATGGGTCAACAGGGAATCATGCCCCAAACAATGAAAGAGGGAGACCAGCAAGCTACTGGAGGATATGGACAAGGGTATTTCAGCTGCCTGATTATAAAATGTGAGACAATGCTGCATGTCACTGTGGCTGCAGAAAAATACACAAAAGACTAAACCTTGGATGGAAAAGAGGCCACTGCAGATCAGTAAGAGAAAAGGTCGGAGACAAACATGGAGTTTGGCAAAGGAATAGACTCTTCCTAGAATGGTGGCTCTCAGCCTTCCTGATGCTGTGATCCTTCGATACAGCTCCTCATGTTGGAGTGACCCCCATCATGAGAGAATTTCTGTTGCTCACTTCATAACTGTAATTTTGCCACTGTTAGGAATCATAATGTAAACTTGTGTTTTCTGATGGCCTCAGATGACCCCTGTGAAAGGGTCGCTCAGTCCCTGCAGCCCACAGGTCGAGAACTGCTGCTCTGTCATGTGTGGGAGAAAAATAAAACACAACCCCCAGTCAGTGTGCCAGGAAAAAGACAGTCAGCTAGAGCGGCAAGCCGCAGTGGGGAAGGAGGCCTGCGTCTTCCTGAGTGTGGGCCCAGGAAGGTTGGAGAATGTTAATAGATGGTCTCCTTCACAGAACCCCCTCCATGCACAGTATAAACTGCATCTCTAGCACTAATCAACACTCCAAGGCAGATGCTTCTCTTTACAGACAATCCAGGGTTCAAAGAGACATCACAAGGTCCTTCCCTGGGCCAATTCCAGGCCTGTGGCCTCTAATGTCCCGTTCAGCTCACAGCCTTGTGCTCAGAAGTCAATCAAGAACCCAGTTCCTATCCAAAACAAGAATCAGCTACCCTCCCCAGCGGGAGAAGCCAGCGCTCACAGGGAAGGCAGGGCCCCTCCCCTTGTCCCATGATGTTTATCATTCAAGGGAGAAGGCTGTTGGGGACACATGGTGTCTCAAGTGAATACAGGAAGAGAAGCCCAGGGCCAGCCAGGGGATAGAAGCCAAGTGCAACCACCCTGTCACTTCTGAGAGTGGGCGGTCCTTCTGTCCACACCCTGCTCTGTGTCCCTCCTCTCCTGACCCCTTTGTAGTCAGAACCAGATCTAGCTACAACTAGGACACTAAGTCCTCAGGCCTCAGGAATGCCTCTATGACCTGTCTACTCCCTGAGACCATGATCCGCGGGGTCTGTGAAGTGCCGTCAGCCTGATGTGTATGTGTGTGACCCTTGTTCATGGCGCAATGCTGGGTGGAGCCACTGACGTGGACTGATACCACAGATGTACTCAGCATAGTGAGTAAACACCGTGTGGATGCGCCAAACAAGATAAATGGTATTTATTTGCTCAGCCTGTGTTTAGAGAGGACCCCGCTGCACCACCAGAGACCCACGGCTACTGGAAATGCCTGCTGAGGTGGACGACGGTGGAGACCAGGGCAGGGGGAAGAAGAAAGTGAACCTGAGGCCAGAGAGGATAACAAAATAGCAGAGGCGCATGAGCTGGTAAAAACAATAAAACAAAGCAAAACCCATAGTCACGGAGGCAGTAAGAGGTCAAAGGTACAGGAGCTGGCCGACACACTGGCTCCAGGTTTCCCCTGGGAAGGGGACAGTTCAGCCACTTACGTAATTATCATCAGAAAGGAGCCATGCCAGATTCAATGGGACAGGGCTTCACCAAACAGTGTGGAAAACAGTTCAGAGGGTGTTTATTTGTCTTTTTATTTATTTGGACAAGATTTTAATATGTAGCCCTGTTGACCTGGAACTCGCTCTGTAGATCAGGATGGCTTCAAACTCCCAGAGCTCCGAGTGCTGCGAATAAAGTCATGTGCCACCACGATACTAGCGCGGCACATTGGTTTTTATTTTCAAGACAAGTTTTGACAATGTTGTCAAATTGGACTCCAGTGCTTGGGTTCAAGGGACCCTCCCACCTTAGCCTCTGGAAGAACTGAGATCAGGAGCACTACCCCTGACCTTCCACTGGCCTCCGGAATCATAGAGCCGGGGGTGTAGCTCATTTGGTGGAGTGTTTGTTCAGCAGACAAGAAGCCCTGGGTTCCCTACAAAGCACCACCATAAAAGGCCACTGGCTGGGGGCATAGAGCTTGTGTTCACGATATTCAAGCTTGGGGTCAAGCATTTTCCTCTTACTGCATTGTTTCCATGTTTTAGAATTATAGATAGGGCTAGAGAGAGAACAACTGTAATAGGAGATTCAGCGCCCTCTTCTGGCTTCTTGGGATACCTGCACTTATGTAATGTATATACATACACACAGAGGCACACACATACATATAAATAAAAACTTCAAAAATAATAAAATATGCTATAAATAAGACTACAGTGAAATTCTATGGTGAGATACATGTATGTCATGATTCTCTCCCACACTGAAAGTGTAGCTGGAAGAATGTGGACAAGCTCATTTCTGTCCATGGACCCTTTGCCCCAGTACTGCAGCCCTCCCTGGTGTCTAGCACCAGTGGCTTCCATACTAATGGAGGGATACACAGCAAAGCCTTTGGCAGTCTGTCCTGGTCACTTCTGTAGACAGCTGTGCAGAAATGGCTAGCAGAGTATATGTACCTGCTTTTACTTGGGGCTGAACCTCTCCTAAAAACAGAGAAGAGATCATGTTACAGAAAATATTTAGACTCAGAAGGACAGGAAGAGGGAAGAATAAACCACAACAACTTTGAGGAGGAGGGATTATGAAGAAAGTGAACCAGTTCCGATGAATTTAGCAGGCCTGAGAGCGCTGGTCCTAAGCTGGCAGTAGGGAAAGGTGAGCTTCCGCTTGTTCACCTCGTTGGGTTCTCAAAGGGCTAAGGAATTCCAGTAGAACACCTGCTGGGTGACGCTGCTCATGCATATGGATTAGAGACAGCTTTGCCCTTCTCAAAACACTCTGAGTCATCAGCCACATGTGTCATAATAAATACATGAGCTTGTAGAGCCACAAGCAGTACACAGGTGCAATTCCAAAACGTGGGCAGTGGAAATAGGAGCTCAGGAGTCCAAGGCCACCCTCAGCTACATAGCAAGTTCAAGGCCAGCCTGACACACAGAGACAAGCCATGTCTCAGGAAAAAAAAAAAACCCAGCAAACAAAAAATGCACAGACAGAAACACACTAAATGAATAATGTGATTTTTCAGAGAGAGAGAGAGAGAGAGAGAGAGAGAGAGAGAGAGAGAGAGAGAGGAGAACAGAACCCAAGATCCTTCATCCAGAAACGACTGTGAAGTGCAGACCCCATCCAGCTTGATAGTCTCTGTAAATGCTGGGGGCTCCATGAAAGAGTCTCTGTGTAGAGACTGTGAAGAGGTACAAGTACAGAGGCTATTTCCCTGTGGGCCTCAGGAAGGAAGGTCTGAAATGCAGCATCTGGACAGAGAAAACTTCAGCTTCATTTTGTTTTTTGATTAAGCTGGGCTGACTAGGCAGCAAACCCCAGGGATCTACCTACCTCTGTCTCCCCAGTGCTGGGATTACACGTGTGTACCACTAGGCCTGCCTGGGTGTGTGTGTGTGTGTGTGTGTGTGTGTGTGTGTGTGTGTGTGTTGGCGTGGTCCTCCAGCTTGCCTGGCAAGCCACTTTATCAGCTCTCTCTTCAGCCTCCTCAGCCTCATCTCACCATTTCTGTGGACCTGTCGGGAGGCTGCAAGCAAGAGCAATCACCTTGTAGAGGCTGGACTGAGACTGGGGGCATGGCAGTGTGGTCTGTTTCCAAGGCAGGTCACATGCTTGGCTAGCACATCACTGCTAGCTGTTGGGGCAGTGTTTCCATTCATCCCTACAGGGAACTACCCTATGACTGCTGGAGTCTCCTCAGACACGGTGACTCTCTTCCTGAGAGTGGTGGTCCCAGAGAAATAACCAGGGAGCCGCAATACCCTCTACACCCCCACTTTGGGAATGTACGCTCTGTCCTCCACGACAGCTTCTTGATCACACAGGTCAGCCTGCTGCAGTAGGAGAGAGACCACATGAGGTGTGAATACCAGCACCAAGGATTGCAGGGACCACCCCTGGCTGGAGGAGATGAAGCGGCATAATCCCCTTGAGGAACAACTGGGTGTTATTTCGATGTGGTGAACGTGTGTCACCATGAGGCTTAGCAATAAAAGGATTTGCCAATTGTCAGTTACTACTTGAACAAATATTTATTGAGCACCTTCTAGTGGGGACCTGCAGTAATGATCAGGGACACCGGGTGGTGTCCACTATCCTACATTGTATTTGGCTCTAGGTTCCTGTCTTTAATCCCCTGAGCACTAACCCACATCTTAGAACCTCCTCCCTTCTGTGTCCTGGAAATTCTGGGGTCTCTAATGTTCCCCTCTGTCATGAGCTGCTTGTCACCCATGGCAGGACAACCAGGACCCCATCCTCTTCATTTCCAGACACAGAAATCCCCAGGTCAGTTGCTGGTTACCATGGCAGTACAACCAGGACCCCACTCTCTTCATTCCCAGACACAGACATCCCCGGTGGGCCTCAGACTTGTTTCTCTCTTTGCAGAGCAGCCTTGAACTTTCCCCCTGGGGACAGTGGGTGTCCCATGCCAACAGCGGATGGACAGGACATCCCAGACAGGAGCTGATTTTGACCCTGCCAGGACAATCTCTCAAAAGCAGCAAGATCAGTGAGGGTGCAGGAGGGCATCTGATCAGGGCCACTGGGGACACCAGAGACTCCAAGGGTAGTGACCCCTTTGTTCTTCTCAGAGGCCTGCTGACCTTTGAACTCGGGAGTGGGGGGGGGGGGACCAGCAACTTCTCTGGTAAAGCACACACACAGAGAACTACCAGTGCCTACTGTCCAGCTTCAGTAGGTCGGGGACAGGAAGATCCCTGGGGCTTACTTGCTTTCAGTGCAGACAAGAAAAATAGAAACCCAGGTTCAGGGAGTGACCTCAACAGAAGTGGTGAGTGACAGAGGGGACAGCAAGGCCCTCTTCTGACCTCCAGGCACATGCACAGGTGTGTGCAACTGCACTCGGTATGCACACATGCACAGAGGGAGAAAGAGAGAGAGAGAGAGAGAGAGAGAGAGAGAGAGAGAGAGAGAGAGAGAGAGAGAGATCTTTTTAAAAAGTTAAGCATAGAATTACCATGTGATACCCCTGGACACATAGCCAAAATCACAAGGAGCAGGGACTGGGATGGAAGCGGGTACTCCTGAACCCCTGAGTTTATCCCTGTGTTCACGATGGCTTAGTTCAGGAATGAGTTTTCTGTTTGGAGTGTGCTATCACAATTCTTTCCCTGGGGAAAAACACAAACATCTGCGCCTCTGCCTAAGGTCCAAGGACAAACCAAAGTATGGTTCCAAAGTTCACCTTGGTTCTTTTCCTGGGCTTTCTTACACAGAGGTGAAGAGGTTCCTGGCAAGACCACAGGGGACATAAAACACCCAGCAGGGACAGTGACTTCCACATGACTGTGTAGACAGAACCTCCTATGCGTATCTTTCCCTGTCTATACCCTCCAGCCCCTCTCCCAAGACCACATGCGATTAGGGCTGAGTTGCATGTGACAGGTTGGGATGGGTGACAGGATCCTCAGGTCAGGTTTCCATGACTCTCCTTGGCCTCTTCCTTCTGTGAGGCAAAGTAAAGAGTCAACAAGACCAGCTGTGCTCATCTTCTGCCAAACTCCTGAAGATGGTGGGGGTTTGGCTCGGAAGATAGTTCTGTACCAGAGGGCAACTAGAAGACCCGTGGGAAAAGATCGCACAGCATTGGAAATACAGCAAGGTCTCTGAATAGCACTGCTTACAATGGTTGAAATGGTAAACGTCACATAAATATTTTCCCCAAATAAAAAGTAGTATAAGGCCAGGCATGCCTTTAATCTCAGCACTTGGGAGGCAGAGACAGACAGATCTCTGTGAGTTTGAGGCCAACCTGGTCTACAGAGTGAGTTCCACAACAGCCAGGGCTATGTAAAGAGACCCTATCTCCAAAAAAAAAAAAAATATCCAGAGCTTGGGCTGGAGAAATGGCTCAATGGTTACCAGCATTTGTTGTTTTGCAAAGGACCTGGATGTGGTTCCAGCGCCCACATGGTGCTGCATAACTGTCTGTCACTCCAGTTCCAGGGTATTCCGATGCCCTCTTCTAACCTCTGTGGGTACCAAGCATGCACTGCACATGGCTCATACACATATATGCAAGAAAAACACTGATGCACAGAAAATAAAAATAAATCTTTTTTTTAAAAAAAATCCAGTGTTCTAGAAATTTATAAAATAAAAATGGAAACCCCTTCCTCCTCAGGAGTCCTGGGGCTGGCTCCGTTGGCTTCTGAACTCCTTACTCCAATGGAAGCCTGATTCTGGGCTTGGAACATGATGAGGCAGAATCCAGCCTGCCCCTTGTGCGGGAGCATCCCTACTTATCCGTGAGGGCTTTGCCATCACAGCTGGGTAGCTAACAGAAAAGTCTGCCAAGCTGGTTTTCCCAGGTTCAAATTCCAATTGCACCCTTTGTGGAGCTAACTGCCTTTGCCTCTTCTCTTCATCACTGACGCCACAGTCTAAGGATTACACAACCCATTTAGTATTGATAATTGTCTTTCAAAAACACCTCACGTTAGTCAGCAATGAGAATTATCTCCGTCACCCCAAGAAAGTGCCACAACCCTTGCTACTGGACATTTCTCATTGGCCATCATGGAAGGGCAGTTAGCCTTCTCTTTCGATCTGTTTTCCCTCCTTCAACCCCCTCCCTCCATGCTCTCCAAAGGCCTGGTCAGAGAACTCACACACGGAACAGTTGTTTCAAATCTCCTTCCTGCCATTTTTCAGGGCCTCCTGTTCAGCACCCAGCATGCTCTCTGACTGATGGATGCCAAGGTCTCAAGAGCCTCTTCACTGCCTTGGACTGTCACATACAAACACACACTGTGTTCATCAGCTTTCTGTTGCCTGTACAAACACCCAAAAGAAATCAACCTAACAAGAAAAAACGTTTATTTTGGTTAAGGGTCTCAAAGGTCCCAAGGCCGGTTAGCCTTCTACTTTTGGACCTGCAGCAAGAGCGTATCTGAAGGAAGATGCTTACCGTGTATTGGCAGGGAAGCAAAGAAGGAGAGCAGAAGGGACTGGCTACCTCTGTCGCTTTCAAGAACTGTGATTCCTCCAACGACTCATGCACTACGTCCCATCCTAAAGATTCTACCCCCTCCCTCAGTAGCGCCATGGGCTAATGGTCAGATCTTACCAGAGGGTCATCTGAGGAACACTTCAAATCCAAAGTGTAACAATAGAGTTGTGTAGTTGGTAATTGTCAACCTATTTTTAAATTAAGATCTTTGGGATATATTTTCATAAATAGAAACTTAATTTGAGTATGTTGATGTATTCTTATAATCCCAGCGTTTAGGGCTGATACAAGAGGGTCAGGAATTCAAGGCTAACCTGGACTACATAAGCCAGACCATCTCACTATTTCAAAATGTAATAACAGGGCTGGAAATGTGGCTCAGTTGACAGAGTGATTGCCTAGCATACACAAGGCTTGAGTTCAGTGTCCCGCACTGGATAAACAAGGCACGGCGGCTCAAATCTGTAATCCCGAACACAAAAAGTCCGGGCAGGCAGATCAGACACACATAGCGCCTTCAAAGTTAATAAATAAAATACAAAGTTCCCCAGACCCATATCAGGACTTTTCCCCCCTTGAACTCAGGTCCTCATTGAAAACTTAAGCGCAGGTGTCAGCGCACACCTCAACAGGTCTCCCAAGCCCAGAGGTGACTTTCCATTTGCCCAGTATCTTGCTTGCTAGAGATGACCTAGGCCTAACTGAGCCAGAGGAGGCTAAGCCAAGGCACTGTCGTAGAGCAAAGAGGATGGCTCTTTCCTCGAGGAGCCATCAATCTACTGAGGACCATGTCCAGCAGACAGGCAGGAAAGAGGCTGTGGTTTACAAAGGCCAAGGCACATGAGACTCCCCAAAAAACACTGGGCAGGTGTGTGGGGTAAGCCATGGACCTTGTGCTGAAGACTTGAGCCAAAATTGAATTGATTAAACTAGTTTGTTGTTTTTGGGTTTTGTTTCTTTAATTGATCCAAAGCTTGGAAAAAAGACAACAGTAAAAGTAGGAGAAAAACATAGCCACTGCCACCATACACCAGACTCCTGGAGAGAGTTATACTGCCCCTTCCCTCTTCCTTCCTCCCCCTCCTTCCCTCCTCCCTCCCGCCTTCCTTCCTTTCCCTCACTCCTTCTGTTCATACAGAGTTGCACTGTGAAGCCCAGCATGGCCCCAAACTCATAATCCTCCTGCCTCAGCCTCCTAATAGTAGGATTACAGGCCTGCTCCTGGGCTGTAAGAGGCAGCTGTTCTTGGCATCTATAATAGAAGTCACAAGTGTGCTCCCTTAAAACTCAGTGGAGGGCTGGTTGTTGGCTCAGCCAGTAAAGGTGCTTGCTGTCAGATCTGGTCACCTGACTCCAAGCCCAGGTCCCGCCTGGTGAACCTGAAAGTTGTCCTCAGACCTCTACATACCATGCCAGGAGCGCACACACATGTACCCATATTCATACATTCACATGTATATGTGTCCACTTACACACAGAAAATAAGTAAATAAATGTATAAATAAGAGAATTAAAAATTAAAACTTACCAAAAAGCCTGGGGCAGTGGTGCACACTGCAATTCTAGCATTTGGCTGAAGGAGCCAGGAGGAGCAGAAATTCAAAGTCATCTTTGACTACACATCAGATTTGAGATCAGCTTGGGATACATGAGACTCTATTTCAAAAAGAAAAAAAAGAAAGAAAGAAAGAAAAAACAACCCAGAAACAAAGCTTCCTTAAAGGGGAATTCCCCAGCCAAAGCAGGAACATTCAGAAGTCAGGCAGCCTTTGTGAAAGACCGGTTCAGACTGCTCTAACAAAATACCACAGATAAGAAGGCTCATAAGAGCACAAATCTCATATAAGCCAGTTTTCATTTTTTTCCCTTAAGCCCACATGTTTATCTCCCACAGTCCTAGAGATTGGGCACTCCAAAATACAGGTTCCAGCAATCAGGTACCTGATGAGGACCACCTCCTGATACAGAGATGGTGCTGTCTAGCTATGTTTAACCACTGAAGTGAGGACAGCTCTCCACGGTCCCTTTCATAAGT